TCCCTGTCCCCTTGGACCAGGCGCTGCCGTGACTCTTTTTCCAAGGAGCATAAGTAGACACCAAAAGGCAACTTCTTAACTTTGGGTTACGTGCTTGGCAGTTACATTCCCCATTGCTTGGTGCAGCTTGTATTGTCTTACTGTCTTTTTCAATCCCAAAGCAACACCCAGATCATGTAACTTCATCTCACTCAGCCTGAACTGTGTCTTGGCACCAGGTTCTTGCAGAGATTCCAGGGCAAGCGCTTGGTAGGTGTGTAGCAGTTAAACACAGGTCTCTCTCCCCAAGGTGGGCCGTGTTTAGGATGGAGAGGGAAGACGCTGCTGCTGCTGGGCGTTGCTCACGAGAGCCTCTTGTGTCGGCTGGGAGCTGCTGCTATGGTGGGAATGCAGCTCCTCTGCCCGGGTCTCCTTCATATGTTCCTCTGCTCTTCTCTCCTAGATAATGGCCGATCTTCTTGCCAATGGGATCGACGTGTATCCTCAGAAGGAGTTTGATGAAGACTCTGAAGATCGGCTAGTGAACGAGAAATTCAGGGTTAGTGTGTGGTGTTGTGGGTTGATGCGTTTGGATGGGCCCTGCAGCTCTGGGTGCTGGTGATGCCCTGGGAGGTCTCTTGCAAAGCACCTCTGTTTTCTTTCCAGAGCTGCTGTGCCCTTGTCCAGGGCGTCTGCCCGGGACCAAGGATCCTGCCAGAGCTCAGAGCAGGGACAGAAAGAGGGTGAGGAAGGTACCTGGGGAAGGTGTAGTTTCCCATCCATGTTGCTGCTCCTTCCGCCAGCCCTGTTCCTCAAAGGTGCCCTCAGCAGCCAGCGGGCAGGGAGGTCCCGTGGCCCCTTGCCCTGCCCCAGGGGCCGGGAGGGCCGGTGCCTGCCCACCCCTGGCTAGGGGAGCCGCTTTCCCGGCACCTGGGGGTAACTTGCCCATAGGCTGCTCTGCTTTTGTGGCTGTCAGTTCCGTGCTATAGGAAGTAGTTAAGAGGTTTTTTGGCTCGAAAGAGTGGATTGGACAAATTCAAGGAAGAAAAATGTCTTTTAGGGACTCTTAAGTACAAAGACACCACCTTGGATCAGCAAATGACTGAGCCGCAGGTTGCCAGATGCTGGGGGCGATTCCCAGGGAAGCAGCATGATGCCTTTGCCCTGGCTGTGCACTGGTGCCTGGCAATGAGGTGCTGGGCTAGACTGGTTTGGGGCTGGTTTTAGACTGGCTTTGGACTGCGCACGTGTGCAAGAGAGGCTCCTGCCCGGGTCCAGGGCGGCCTGCGGGCCCTGGCAGGCAATGCTGCTCAGGAGCGTCAGGGACAGACCAGCTCATCCCATGAAACTCTCCTGAAAACAGCTTGATGTAGGACCTTGCTCGCCAGCTTGTTTTCCTGAGCAACCGGTTTCCAGGAGGAAAATGTAAACTTTTCTTCACTTTCCTCAGGAAATGATCCCGTTTGCAGTGGTGGGAAGTGACCAGGAGTACCAGGTTAATGGAAGAAGAATCCTTGGAAGGAAGACCAAGTGGGGCACCATTGAAGGTACCTTTTCCTTGTTTCCCTACCTCTTGAGCCCATCTCCCTGCCCTGACAGGAGGTCCAAAACCAGCAGTAGAAGTTCGAGGTGTATATAGTGCTTCCCTGCCTCCCCAAAGAAAATCACTTCCCGGTGTTTAGGGACTGAAAATGCCTTGGCCAATATTCCTGCCCTGAGTTCTTGGGCCTTTGTGTGGCTCGGGGGGCTGCTGAGTGCTGGAAGGGACACTTGTGGGTTTCTGTGGCCTGGCTTCTGCTGGTTGCACAGTTAAATGCCTGATGGCTGGATTTGGGGGAACATGAGTGCAGTGCTGACGTCTCTGTGTCTCGAGCCCAGATTAGAGCCTTTCCCCTGGCATCTGTAGGTCTCTGCACCCTCCACCATGCATTTGGCTGGTGCCCTGTGTCATCTCTTCCTTCTTCCAAGTTCATCCCATCAGCATCTTCCTTTTTTATCCCCCATTTTAAATCATGGTTTAAAGGCTAGATGGAGGCTCCTGGCTCCAGTGCATCTGCACGTTTCCCTGTCCCTGAGAGCCAACTGGCACGTCTCCAGTGCCGCCTCTCTTATCTTCCTCCCCTTCACTTCATAGGTTTCTCTCATTTATGAGTCTTTTTAATAGGAATCCTGTGTTGAGGGATGGCTTAACAAAGATGCCAGGAAAGCTGGTGTCTTTTAAAGCTCTGCTGCCCTCTTGTGCTCTGGCCTTGGAAGCTTAATGGGGCTCATGAAAGCACTCGACCTTCTGCAGTGTGGCATCTGCAGGGGCAGCCTTTGCAGGACAGTGTTATTTGTTCTCTTGCCATTTCTGCATTATGTTCAAGCCTGTTTGGGTGGAAAAAAAAAATAGGAAGTTGATCCTTTAAATTCAAATGCCTGGTAAACTGGGAGCCGGTAGACTAATTGTGGTGGAGCAACACCCCTTGATTTTTTTCCCTCTTGCAAACACTTTTGCTTGCTCCAAGCCCTGTTCAGGCAGCAGTAGCCTCTGTCAGCAAGAGATCGTGTCCTTCTGCAGCACCGGCAGCCCGGGCAGCACAGTCGCTGACACGCCTGGGATGCTGCGGGATACTCGTGGTGAAGCTATAGATGAAACATTTCTGTGGAGCCGTGCCCAGCGCTCGCTGCAGAATGCACCCCGTCCCTTTCCCTGCCGTGTTTGGGGCCCACTTAAGCTTGCGTTGGTCCGAAGGGGAGGGTCACGGTGGGAGATGCTGCTGGGAGTTCCCTCATTTGGTGGGAGGTGGTGGGAAGGGACTGGGAACGTTCAGCCAGTTGGTCATGCTGAGCTGGGGCAGGTAGCTGGGTAAATCACTGGCCTTAGAGCAGCAAAGAGGACTCGAGTCCCGCACCCTATAGCCCCTGGGGGTAAGTCCCCATCTCCACATGGTAGTGAAGCTCCATGGGGTCCTCCTCACCCCAAGTGGTTGCCATACTCATGCTGTGGGTGCACGCTGATGGGTTTCTCTCTCTTCCTACCAGTGGAGAACACGACACACTGTGAGTTCGCCTACCTGCGGGACCTCCTCATCAGGTCGGTAGGACCATGCCCTGTCCCTGTAGCCTTCGGTCACCAGGTGGCATCCAGAGAAAGGGGAGCGCCCAGCCCGGTTTGAAGCAGATGCTGCCTCGCTCTGCTCATCCCCCCGCCCTCCCTCCCCGCCCTCCCAGCCTGCAGGTGGGGTGGCCCCACGCAATGGGACGTGGCTTCAGCTATGGTGCCCGAGTTAAGGGAGGAGAGGAGCAGCGGGGGGGTCAGGACAGACTCCAGGATTGCTGGCAGCGTGCAGTGAGGCTCCAGCTCGCCTGCAGGCAGCTGGGAAGCCTTTTGGCCTTCATGATCCCTCACCGGCCCCAGGTCCTACCTGCAGCCAGAAGACATCACCTTCCTGCATCCCAGGATCGTGCCATTGTGGGGTCTTGGGCGATCACCGGTCCCTCTTGAAAGAGGCGTCCCTGCTGCAGGGGGCTGGGAGGCTGGCTGAGCCCCCTTGGCTTGCTGGAGGGGGCAATGGGCTCCTCCTAAATTTGGCTGCAAGATAAACTCTGCACACATGAGCTGCTGCTGGCAGATAGTTGTGTGGGGCTACAAAACCTGATCCCAGGGACTTGCAGGATGGGGGTCTCCCCGGATGGGTGTTACGCAG